TGAGACGCAGGGCCCCGTCTCTTCAAAACGAGGACCCAACTCGACACAGGATGTGTGGGAAGAACGGCGAACATCCGAAGGCGACGACGTCGAGGTCCGCGTGGATTCCTCGGATCCGCGCTGGGACCCCTTTCCCTGGCGCTCGAGGCGCCGCCAGGGGGCCCCAGCGCCGATCCGAGGGATCCGCTCGGACCTTCGAGTTGTTATTGATTATGATGTCAGCGTGTGTTCCCCCCTGAGACTGCCCTGGTAGGGTAGTGCGACTTGAATCGTCGCCTTGTGTGATTTCGTCGCCTTCGGTTTGCCGTCGTTTTTGCCAACCACCCTGTGATGAGTTGGGTACTTGTGTTTTCAAGTTGCACTACAGTCAACCCGCATAGAAAGGATGAGCGACCTTCCAAGGTAACCCTTAGGTCATTCCCCGTCGGCCCATCCATGACCGCTTTCACTGACCGCGCCCCGCCCGCAAATTGCTGACATGGCCTTCAAGGCCCCTGCATCCTTATCGAGCGTCCACATTACCCCGCACGGCAAGGAGGAACGACATCCCAAAAGGGTACCCTGCGCCCCTGCCTCTTCGGCTATCTTCGGCCCATCCTCAGCCACTCTCGATGGACAACCCCGCTCGAGGAGCCTCGGCACGGGCGTCCGAGGCCCTTGCATCCTCACCGCGCTTCCTTGCCATGCTCGGCGGCGAGCGAGGGGGGGGGGAAGGGAGAGGGGGAGAGCCTTCTCAGAAGCCTCGGAAGTCCCCCGGCCTTCTGAGAATCCGAGAATCTTTCTGAGCCCCCCCCGAAGGCCCGGAACACCTCTCAGCCGGCGCGAGGGCCTCTGGGAAGCCCCGCCGCCCTCTGGGACGGCCTTCTCCTTCCCACTTCCCCCCCCTTGGCTCGCCGCCGACGCGATCCTACCTCTCCAGGGCAGCCACGGGCTGCAGGAGGAGCGCGGGCAGCGAGCCGCCCCCGCCACGGGCCTCCCGCGGCGCGCCGAGGTCGGGGCCGGCGGCGCCCTGGGGGCCGCCCCGTGCGGCGGGGAGGAGCCCTGCGGCGCGGCGGCGGAGGCCGCCCGCCCGGCCGCTTTCGCCTCCGCCGGGTCGGTCACGGGCTGCTCGCCAGCTCGGCCTGGCGCCGTTGCGACAGCGGCATCCCCGGCGCGCCCTCTCAGAGGGGGAGCGCCTCTCAGAGGGGGAGCGCCCTCTCAGAGGGAGAGCGCCTCTCTGGTGCAATGCCCAACAGCAGCTCTTGTTCGTTTTGAACAGGACTCGCTGTCCACGCCGCCGCGGTCTGTGTCCATTCGAGACAGAGGGCCGCCTGCCCAACAGCGGCCGCTGTTGTTTTGAAACGACATTTGCTGTTGGGCACTGTACCCATCTTTTCGGTATCCATTTCGGGCGTCCAAACAGGCTGCTCGCCAGCTCGGCCTGGCGCCGTTCCGACAGCAGCATCCCCGGCGCGCCCTTTCAGAGGGAGGCCGCTTCTTTGCGTACATGTGCACGTGGACGGTGACGATCGGCCGCCGCGGCTCTCGAGCCCTCGTCATTGGTGAAGCGGGTCCTCAGTCCCTGAGCGCGCTCCACTACTCGCAAAGTGCCTACTCGCCAAGGTCTGGAACAGACATGCTTACTTCAATATAATAGATCCTCTTGGGGGCCTCTTGGGGTCCTCTTGGGGGCATTCTGGGCTGTCTTGAGGCCGTCTTGGGGGCCCATTGAGCGGCCTTGTGCCACTTCGGGCCGTCTTGGTGTCATCTTAGCTGTCTTCGAAGCCGTTTTGGAGGCCATGTTGGCCGCCTGAAGGCCGAAAAGAGGTTAGAGAGCAAATCCAGAGAGACCGATCTTCTAATCACGCGTGCGGCGAGGGGGGTTTGGGGTCGGTCCTAGGAAACATTAAATAGTCTAAGCGGGCAACAGAGGAGCAATCTAATACGCACACTCCGTGCAGGCATGGTGGCAATCAGTAATAAGTAATAATGAGTAAGGGTGAGGAGGATGTTTCTGAGCCCGAGGAGGAGAAAGATGAGGAGGAAGAAGAGGAGGAAGAGGTGGAGAAGGGAGAGGGTTGAAGAAGGGAGCAGGGAGGAGGGAGGACGAGGAAGACTCTGCAGAAAGTTCCTGTTGAGAAATCACGCTATCCGGATTACTTTGCGTGGAAGAAGTGATGCTTGGGGCGCCTAGAGACCCTGGCTGGCCGTGGCTCCTGGGTCGGTCTCTGGGGAGAGTAGGGGCTGGTCATTGGCACCGTGCTACCGTGGAGGGAGGATGAGGGAGGGGAGTTGGGAGGGCAGGTTGGACAGACAGACAGAGGAGCCGGACGCCGTCCAGCGCGTAGGCAAAGTACAGTGCAGAAGCCAAATTTGAAGCTGCGAGGGGAGGAGGAGGGGGGACGGAGACGGGCGGAGGGAAGGGAGCGAGTGCCTCCCCCGCGAGGGGTCAAAGATCGCTCCCTTCGGCAACGAGGAGATGGCGGCGAGGCTGGAGGAGCAGGCGGGCAAGACGCAGGACCAGGGAATGACAGGGCTCGAGCTGAACTGTGTTTTGGCGATTTCGTGGACCGTTTCGTTTTCATTTCGTTTTGGAGCAAGGGCGGAACGACGACAGAACGAAGGAAAACGAAAACAAAACGAAAACTGAGAACACTGTTTCGCTCGAGTCCTGCGGCGCACACGTCCGCATCCGCGCCCTCGCGGTCTGGATTCGGGGGTGCGATCCCGCGGATGGGCGGCCGCACGGATGCGTTCCGCGCGGGGTACCCGCGACAAAAACGCTCCGTGTCCGCGGGTTCGCTGCCTGGGGCCCGGCCCGCGAGGCCGCGTATACGGACATGTGTTTTGCCTACGAGGGGGCATGCGATCGGACCGAGGGATAAGATCGAGGCTGGTTCGGGGTGGGTACCCTAGTGTTCTTCGTGTTTGTTGGATCTTTTTGTGCATCCTGGGGGAAGGTACCCTCGAATGTCCTTCAGTTTGGCCGGCGGAGGGCCCATAAGGACGAGGGATGACGATGGGGAGGATCGGCGGCCAGCCCGGGGGGGAAGTGAGAAGGAGCAGGCCTTCTCAGAAGGCTCGCAAGCCCCCTGGCCTTCTGAGCGTTTTTTTTTATTTTTTTTTTTTTTGTTTTTTTTTTTTTTGTTTTTTTTCTTTCCCCCCCTCTGTTTTTGTTTGTGTAACATCTATATATACATATATATATATATATATATATATATAGTTTTCCTCGAAGACACGGAAGACCTCACAGAAGGCTGGAGGGTTTCCGAGAAGTTCTGCCGCCTTCTGAGAAGTCTTACTCCCTGCCTCGCTCGCCGCCGGGGGGAGGGAGGAGGGGGCGGGGCCAGGGCTCATCTCGATTCCTCCGATTCGATTCGATTTGACTTCGATGGCTTCTGATTCTGACTCGATTCGATTTGGGATTCCCATTTGGGCTCCGATTCAAGTGGCTTACGCCATTCTGACGACCCCCAGAAAAGGCAAACAGTAATTCACGATCGCAGAAGTCATTGGGAGCGTTGGGGCCTGAACACGTTGTGTCGTGTCTCGATTCTCTTGGGGCCCTGCCGGCTCTCTTGAGGCTTTCGGAGCCGGGCTGTCTATGCTGGAAGGTTTTCTTGACCTGGAAGGCACGATGTCAAGTTCGTCGCCCATTTCTCGGGCAGGATCTGGGTCTCTGGGAGAGTAGAGATCAATGGGGAAGGCTTGGGCCGATCAGGCCGTGCGCGGTCTGACCCTTGCAAATGTGGGTAGGCGGTCTCCGCGTCTATGCCTGTGGGAGTCTGTGGGCAAGGCTCAGGGAAGGCTGTGAGAGGCAGTCGTAAAGCGTTCTGGGAACCGCTTCGAGGCGTTGTCGGGGTCTCGTAACAGCCACTGGGGGGCGTCCGCGGAGTGGAGATGCAGTGAGAGCTTGCAGCGCTCGTGGAAGGAATGAAGTGGGTCAACAGCCGCGTGGATACATATGAGGGGCTCTCATGATGCTTCTCAGGGGCACCTTGGAGGGCTCATTCTGGCACCTGGGGGGCTTTTTTGAGCTTCTCGGGCGCCTCTTGGGGGCCTCGTGGGGGCTTCTTGGAGGCCTCTGGGCGCCTCTTGGGGACGCCTCGGGGGCCTCTAGGGGGCTTGGGCTCATCTTGGGGGGAAAGGCTCGAATTGACAGTTCGTATTCGCCCTCTTGGGCCCCTCTTGAGGCCCTAGAGGGCCACGCTTGGGTCGTCTTGGGGGCTTCTGGGACCGTCTTAGGGCCTTGGGGCTCTCTTGGGGGCCTCATGTCTCGTTTTGGGACGGTCTTGGGAGCCCTTTTGGCCGTCGTGGACGCTGCCAAAACGAAAAAGGCGAGTATGATAAACAGATGTACGTTTTCCCAAGGGAGCGGGGCAACTTTTGCTTACAATAGGGCGCCTCTCCGCGGTTCTCTGGGGCCGTCTTGGGGGTCTCCTGGGCCGTCTCGAAGCCATCTTGGACCGTCGTGAGGCTACCCTCTGCCCTCTGGGACTGTCTTGGCGCTCTGTGTGGACTCTCGGGGGCTGCCTGGGGGGCTGTTTGGAGGCTCCGCTGACCCAAGGGGGTCGTTGGGGATCCCGGAGACCCCCTTCTAATCGGATTTGGGGCCTGGGGGGGGGGACAGCCAAATGTCTCACACGCCTTTTCATGCCTTGCAAGCGGGGGTCGGCGGATGACGGGAAGCGTCTTCGAGGTACGAGAAGCAAGCGGGACGTTCTGGCTGAATCCTTGAGTATATATATATATATATATATATATATCTTTAACTATATGGGTTGCCGCGCTGCACGGGATTTTTCGTTGGCGGATGACGGGAAGCGTCTTCGAGGTACGAGAAGCAAGCGGGACGTTCTGGCTGAATCCTTGAGTAAATATATATATATATATATATATATATCTTTAACTATATGGGTTGCCGCGCCGCACGGGATTTTTCGTTGGCGGATGACGGGAAGCGTCTTCGAGGTACGAGAAGCAAGCGGGACGTTCTGGCTGAATCCTTGAGTATATATATATATATATATATATCTTGGGTTGCCGCGCCGCACGGGATGACGGGAACGTCTTCAGGTACGAGAAGCAGCGGGACGTTATGGCTGAATCCTTGAGTATTATTATATATATGATATATATGTATCTTTATATCTATCGGGTTGCGCGCCTGCACGGGATTCATTGTTGCGGAATGACGGGAATCGTCTTCGAGGTCGAGAAGGCAAGCGGACTTCTGGCTGAATCCTTGAGTATATATATATATATATATAATATATCTTTTTATATCTATGGGTTGCGGGGCCGCACGGGATTTCGTGGCGGATGACGGGAAGCGTCTTCGAGTACGAGAAGCAAGCGGGACGTTCTGGGCTGAATCCTGAGTATATAATATATATATATATATATATATATTATATATATTATTATTATAATATATATATATATCTATCTTTATATCTATGGCGGCACGGACGGGAAGCGTCTCGAGGGTACGAGAAGCAAGCGGACGTTCGGCTGAATCCTTGAGTATATAATATATATATATATATATATATATATATATCTTTATATCTATGGGTTGCGGGATTGCACGGGATTTTTCATTGGCGGATGACGGGAAGCGTCTTCGAGGTACGAGAAGCAAGCGGGACGTTCTGGCTGAATCCTTGAGGAAATATATATATATATATATATATATCTTTATATCTATGGGTTGCGGCGCCGCACGGCGTTTTTCATTGGCGGATTCCCCAAAATGGCCATTTCGCTCGAGACATCCTCGAAAAATTGAGGTGTTGGAGGCTATCGTTTAAGACGTTTTATGTCAAAAATGACGGTTTCGCTCGAGACATCCTCTAAAAATCGGGATGTTGAAAAATATCAAAAATTTTTGTTATGCATGAAAAATGAGCGTTTCGCTCGTGACATCCTTGAAAAAATGAGATGCCGACAGAGATGTTTTAGAACCTCTTATGTCAAAAATGACGTTTTCGCTCGGGACGTCCTCAGAAAATTAGCAGGTGGTCTGCCGTGCTCCCGTGTGGAGCACGGCAGACCATGGCCATTTCGCTCGAGAAATCCTCAAAAAATCGAGGTGTGGTCTGCCGTGCTCCTGTGTGGTCTGCCTTGCTCCTGGTCTGCCGTGCTCCCCACAGGAGCACGGCAGACCGCGCGTAGGAACCGAGAGGAGCACGGCAGACCAAGACGAGGAGCACGGCAGACCAGGCTTAGGAACCGAGAGGAGCACGGCAGACCAAGACGAGGAGCACGGCAGACCAGGCACCAAGAGCGCCCTCAAGACGACGGAAAGGATGACCAAGACGAGGAGCACGGCAGACCAAGACGAGGAGCACGGCAGACTATGCCCTAAGAGTGCCCTCAAGACGGCCGAACAACGGCAGACCCCATAGGAGCACGGCAGACCACAGAAGAGCACGGCAGACCAACAGGAGCACGGCAGACCACACAAGAGCACAGGAGCACGGCAGACCACACAGGAGCACGGCAGACCACAAAGGAGCACGGCAGACCACACAAGAGCACGGCAGACCCCACAAGAGCACGGCAGACCCCACAGGAGCACGGCAGACCCCACAGGAGCACGGCAGAGCAGACCCAAAAGGAGCACGGCAGACCACACAGGAGCAAGGCAAACCACAGGAGCACGGCAGACCACACAGGAGCACGGCAGACCCCACAGTAGCAAGGCAGACCCCAAAGGAGCACGGCAGACCACCGGAGCACGGCAGACCACACAGGAGTACGGCAGACCCCACATGAGCACGGCAAATCCCAAATGAGCACGGCAGACCACAAGAGCACGGCAGACCACACAGGAGCACGGCAGACTCCACAGGAGCACGGCAGACCACAAAGGAGCACGGCAGACCACACAGGAGCCCGGCAGACGCCACAGGAGCACGGCAGACGCCACAGGAGCACGGCGGAACCCACAGGAGCACGGCAGACCGCGCGCGGGTACAACATAAACGCGCTTTTTTGTTGTACCCCGAACGCCGCTGGCGTTTCCCCAACAGGAGCACGGCAGATCTCACAGGCGCGCGGCAGACCCCAAATGAGCACGGCCGACCACAGGAGCACGGCAGACCCCAAATGAGTACGGCAGACCCCAAAAGAGCACCGTAGACGCCTCAGGAGCACGGCTGACCACACAGGAGCACGGCAGCCTGGGCCGGTTCCGGCGCCGGCCGGCGCCGGAAAATTGAATTCCGAGGCGGTGCCGAAAAAAGGCCACTCCAAGACATATTTTTCTTTCGAAAATATTGAATTTCGAGCCAAACGCCCGGGCCAGCACCCGGGCCAGCGCCCGGGCCGGTTCCGGCGCCGGCCGGCGCCGGAAAATTGAATTCCGAGGCGGTGCCGAAAAAAGGCCACTCCAAGACATATTTTTTTTTCGAAAATATTGATTTTCTGCTCCCGGCGCCCGGGAACCCCTTCCGGGCCGCTTCTGGCACCCGGGCCGGCGCTCGAGCCAAACGCCCGGGCCAGCACCCGGGC